CCGGTCTGTATGTGGGATCCGAACCCTCGGACGGGAGCGCCGCCGCGCTTCCCAAGCGGCGCACTATCCAGTGCGCCACCGGGCTGGCCCCCAATTAACTTCTTAAATGGATTAATATTTTTGAATTTAAAAAAACTCATTGAGGGCCGGCCCGGTGGCGCACTGCTACAGTGCGCCGCTTGGGAGTGCGGTTGCGCTCTCGCCGAGGGTTCGGATCCCGCATACAGACTGGTTCCCGCTCACTGGCTGAGCAAGGTGTGGGAGCAACACCGAGGTTTGCGATCCGTTGCCGGACACGAAAAAAGACAAAAACAAACAAACAAACAAACAAACCTCATTACTAGTTTCTCATTACAGAAAAGTTCCTTAAATACAGAAAGAAATATAAACTAATAAAAGTCTCCTGTTATTCCACCACGCAGAGCTAACTGTGGTTAACATCTTGGTGTCTAGCTTTCCATACTTTTTTGCTAAGCACATGTATTCATAAAGTACTATTTTTTCCTACAAAAATAAAACCATGCTGTTTTATGTTATGGTTTTTTATTTTATTTAATATCTCTTGACATCATTTTACATCAGTAAATATTGATCTGAATCTATATTTAGATTTAAATATATGAATTAAATATGTGAATTATTTAAATATGCACTGTATAATTTTTATATAAATATGAGTAATGTTGATGGTAAAGAAATTCAAGTAGTGTGGAAGTTTATAGAGGAAGAAAATGTAAGTCATCTTTTCCTTCTCATTTTAATATGTCTGTAGATCCTGTGGTTCCCTCTGTAAATAGTTTGGCCTTCATCCAGGCATTTACATGTATGGTATGCCTAGTGCACACAGCCAGCAGGGGCACTTACTGGGCTTACCTCAGGTGACTGAGCAGGAGAAAGAGGGGCTGCAACCGAGCAGGCTTTCACTGGTGTGTGGCCTCTGGGACTGTAAGCTCTCAGGCCTCTCACCCTCTCTAGGAGGGTCTCACTTGTACAGCCCACCTTAGAGAGCTCTTCTGTGGTCTTTACCTGGCTAATACTAATAGTAATACTGATGTTAATACTAATACCAATATGAATATGAATACTGTCTCCTCTGAAAGCAGGTGCTGCTGTCACGCAGCCCTTTGGTTGATTTCTCAACTGAGCACACATGCTGTATCCTCTCTCTTAGTTGATACTGCTTCTCTCATCCAGGAGTTACTTAGGAATTCCACTGGGAAAACTCACTTGTTATGGAGGTCCTTGTTTTTGCATGTATGGGGTTCTAAATTCCAATTTTCCATTATATTTCCAGATTAATCTCTTGCTGTGCTTTTATTTTTATTCCAGAAGTTTCTGATAGCTCTGGTCTGTGGGTAGCACTCCTCCCAGGTTTTCAGTGATGCTCTAGTTTTACTTATTTATTTTCTTTTATTTCAATTGAATTTTTGGAAAGAGGCGATGTAAACACAATGTGCGCATTCAGCCACCACCTTTAACTGGAAGTCTACAAAGTCATTTTATCAGTTGCGTTGTATGCATAATGTGTCTTTTTTCCTGGCTGCATTTAGCTTTTTCTCTTTATCACTAGTTTTGGGAAATTTAATTAGGATATGCCTTGGTGTAGTTTTTTCATGTTTCTTGTGTTGGGGGTTCCCTGAGTTTCTTGGATATGTGTGTTTATAGTTTTCATCACACTTGGAAAATTATTGGTGATTATTTATTCACATACTTTTTTTTATTTTTTATTTTTATTTTTTCATTAAATTTTTATTTTGTCAATATACAATGTATATGATTATTATGGCCCATCACCGACACCTCCCTCCCCCTCTCCCCTCCCCCCCAAGAATGTCCTTTCCGTTTGCTTCTTGTAACAACTTCAAAAAAGTATAGTTGTTATATCTTCTCCCCCC